CCCCCCCCGTCGGCTTCCCTTGGTACTGCAGCTTGTTCTGGAATTGCAGGACGGGTTTCAAAACCTTCAAGAGAGGATACTGTAACTACAAAACTGATTGACATCACCGTGATTTTTGGTATGTAGGTAAATAGGTAAGATTTACGAAAGCACTAAACATGTCATGGAGGTATGAGTCGCCGAACTCTAGTTATACATTTTATTTCATTTTAATGACTCATCGTTGTTTTGATCCCACAAACCAACTGAATGCTGTGTTTGTTTCTTTGTTTGAAGCATTCTTCATTCATGAGATGCTCAAATTGGCCTGAATGCTACTTTTCATTGAGGTCATGCGGGAAGAGGTCAGGGTCAGGCAGAATATATAACAAAGGTACAGTTTACATAATTTAAAGTCTTATTTTAGACATGCATGGTACAAAATACACAATCATATGATAGTGAGAGCTGACATATGGTCTGTGTCCTTTTATTTCATAGATTTTGATGTCATCGACCACAAGGTAGTTCACATGATGGTTTTCAGAAACTTCTAGCATTATTTACAGATAGTGATAATCATCATCAAATTATCATTTAGCAAATAACAAAACACAATATATACATGTACAGCTTTGCTTCCTGATTCCAGTTTTGTCTGAATTGCATTGGTTACAAGTATTGACATCCAGACTTGAGTTCAGGTTTATATATACATAACAAAACATCATAGCATTTCCACATAAAGGTATGACTAAACAACTTCAAAGAACACTACTATCATTGTTATTGGTGCAAGCAGCAGCCACATGTCGAGATATGTAACTTTATGTAACTATTTTGCTATATCTTCTTCACTATGTCACAGCACAAAATAGAATTCAGTGATGTTGATTGTACATAGTTTGTTTAAATTGTCTTGATTTCAACCAGTTTGTAAAAGTTGCAGCACAATTCCCAGGTGTGCTAGCCAGCCCCTGCTTCTTTACAATTTGTGTACGTGTATCAAAAGTGTATCATCATGGATCCACAGTAAGGCCACACAGACTTAGATCTATGGATGACATCCTTTGAAGACCCCCAAACTAGTGCGCGCAGGCGAATAAAATAAAAATCCGGCCAAAAATAAAAATGCTACTAAACCACAGGAATACATGACAAAGCTGGTATTGTGAATTTGTGGCAGAACATAGCAACATACACGAAATGCTGGCTTTTTGCGGAATTTATGAATCGACACGTATGTACTGAGATCTTAAGTCGTGGAGCTTTGGTAGCCTGGATTCCATCCTCCAGAGTTACCACCGGCTCTGTATATAGTCACTATATAGCAAGCTACCATGAACTACCCAAGCCTAGAGCCAGGCCAGAGCCTCGGATAATGTTTGTTTTTTTATAACAGGCAAAAATCAATGCGCGGCGGATGTCATCCATAAAATTAAGACGGTGTGGCCTAGGTGGAGTAAAAGATAATCCAGGAGTACTGGTTCCTTACTACCATTCTATCAAGAATCTTTGATGACAGCACTAGTGCACAGTTGAAATATATCGACGGTTGCTACTATAGTATGGGAGAAGTGTCCTGAAGGATATTCTCAACTGTTCTCTCATGTCTGCTTGGTAGTGAAGGGACGTAATGAGTAGAAAGCCAACTGATTCTAGGTGGGATGGAGGAATGGTCTCTTTCCTTCATGATATTGACTGAAGTCATCAATATAAAGTAACTCACACCAGTGGAAATTATAGAAAATTTCCTAAAATATCTGGATTCTGTGATTTTCCCTATCACTGACCACAACATTCCCCCTGGACGTGAGAGCTACCCCCTCTAGTCCTTTCACCTCTCCATCCCCACTCCCCCAGGACCCAAAGGCACAGAGAAAGCTGCCATCCTGCCTGAAAAGTTGTAATCGATTGTTTCCGCTGTCTCCCACAATGATGTGGCCTTCCTGGTCCACAGCAACCCCACGTGGGTACTTAAACTGACCATTTCCACTCCCCTCACTCCCAAACTTTAACAAAAACCGCCCGTACTTATCAAATACCTGTATTCTGTGGTTGCTGCTGTCACTGACGATGACTCTGTTGTCCCTGGCCACAGCTATGTAGTGTGGGTTTTCAAACTGACCGTTACCATTGCCAAGTCGACCAAATTTTCGCACAAATGCACCGTCCAGTCGGAACACCTGTACCCTGTGGTTATCCTTGTCACAGACGTAGATAAAGCCCATTCTGTCCGTGGCGACCCCCCAGGGGTAACTCAGCTGTCCGTCACGGCTGCCTTCCTGCCCAAACTGGCGAATGAAGCGCCCGTTACTGTCGAAGATCTGCACACGATGGTTGTACCTGTCTGCTGTCACAATCCAGCCCTGCAAGAATAAAGGTTGGAGTGTTACTTGAGACAGGAAACAGGTGCAGTCAAACTTGAATCCCCATGGGACAGAGGAAAATTGGTCTTCTCAGAGTAGAAAATTGGTGACTATTAAACAAAAAGAATAGTGACCAGACAGAGAAGAAGACAACAGCAGCAAAAATTTTACAATAGTTGTCACATTGGTCTTACATGTAAGTGACGCAGTCAGTGCCATTTTTTATTACTCAAAAATTGTCATGCTAAAGAATTTTTTTTCGTTTTATTATATATTATATATATATAACTTGAAATTGAAATCAATGGCAAACTGTTTCATCGAGGTTTCTTGCTTAGTTATCATTAAAAAAAATGTTTTCTGCCACATGCATGGCACATGCTTGAAAATGACAGTCATGACGATTATATTATTGATTGTGTTATTTTTTGTTTTTTTTTATTTTTATTATACGATTATATTACTGATTGTGTTATTTTCAAGCATGTGCCCATGCAGAGATTGGGCCATGTGTGGTCCCAAATATAGTGCCAGTCAGTGGACTCACGGTCACACTGGATAAGTGCTTGGCTTAGGCATGTCCCTTTATGCTTACAGGAAAAAATCAGGACCACAAAATGGCAGTTACCAAATGGCAGGTTTCTAGAGGTTATAGCTTTGGCAAGTTTGGCTGTATCATGTTTCTTTACTTAGGAGTAAGTGTCTCCTAATATCTGTGGCAGGTGGAACATCAACAGATACCAATTATGCAAATGACCTAATTTGCATAATCAATGTGAAAATTCTGTGACTCCTTATTGGTGAATGATGGGAATTATATACCTTGTGACATGTGTAAGTTACTATGCATATAATATGTTAATGTAGAGATCATTTGTATAATTAATGAGGACATGTTGAAATGACGTATGACAAAGAAGAGAAATTTTACACGAAAAATATCGTCATTTAAATTTAGAAAACCATAAATTAAACTAGATTATGCTAATTACAACCTTATTTCGGAATCCATAGTCAAAGAGACAAATAAAAAAACAGTTACAAAAACTCATATACTTCATGGAGGTATGAAGGCTCCAAATTCTTGTTCATGGAGGTGAAAATGTATTGGATGGACGGATATATCTTCAGATACAAGTATAGTCAAGTGGACATGTGTCATATGATTCTTCTTGTCTTTCTCCTGTGGCATTTGGTCAAATAGGTTCCACCCCTAAAACTAATATTGGACAAATTTAACTCAAAAATGTCTCCTGCAGTTTCTGATGGTGTGACAACCGCACGACCTGCATGACTGGAGTGATAGAGGTTGTGCATCTTGTAAGATTATTTTACACACCATACACATGTACAAAGTGATCAGGCAGACTAAAGCTTCAAAGAAATACCAGGCGACAAAACGAAGGATGTTGCTTTTAGTATTATCTAGGCCAGAAAGCAATCTTCTACTGAAAAGGTAATCATGTGATTCAACACACACAAAAAACTTAAAACAGCTGAAAACAATCTTGTAAGATTATTTTACACACCATACACAAAGTGATCATGACAAGCAGAATAAAACTTCAAAGAAATACCAGGCAACAAAACGAAGGATATTGCTTAGTATTATCTAGGCCATAAAGCAATCTTCTACTGAAATATAATTACTGATTGAACACAAAAAAAACTTAAAACAGCTGAAAACAATCTTGTAAGATTATTTTACACACCATACACAAAGTGATCAAGCAGACTAAAACTTCAAAGAAATACCAGGCAACGAAACGAAGGATATTGCTCTAAGTATTATCTAGGCCAGAAAGCAATCTTCTACTGAAATATAATTACTGATTGAACACGAAAAAAAAAACTTAAAACAACTGAAGACAAATGCTATGCATTATGCTACCCAAACAACATATTTTACAAATCACCACATAAAATGGCCCCATATGTCAGAAGTTCTAAAAAGAATTATGGAAGAAATGGATGAGCATGCATTGGCCGAACAGTTAATGTCTATCCTCGTATTGGTTGTCAATGAACTTCTAACGGTAATAGACTGTCAGGATTGATCTATTCTGATGCTTGCCAGAGTCAGTAGGCAAGACTGGGCTGGACATTACGGTGCTAGAGGTACAGTATGATAATCGTGTGCAAAATTTGGACAGACATTTATAAAAAGATAAATAGATAGATAAAAAACTTGTATCTTAAAAGATATCCTTCTAACACATATGCAGATATTCTCCTTGGAATCATCTCTGGAAGAGACAGTGGCTAGACTAGAATGTGCAATACACAGTAACTGTCAACGATACATATAGAATACAACACGGGGTATTCCGTATCGGACTGCGGGTCGGATCCCCTGACGGACGGAGGGCGATCTGACTCACGGGAGGGCCGGGACCGAGGCTGATGCGGAATACACCGTGTTGTATTTCATTTATATCATACCCACCCAAGAAAACACGCCTTTCAATGCAAGATGAGCCAAAAGTTGGTGCCACTAAACCCTAAAGTACAACAACATCAATTCTAATGTCTGGATTCTGTATTTGATTTTTTCGAAAGCGGTGCACATAGTTAGGGCAAAACACATTCGAATCGTTCTATGGAAGCCATGGAAGCCCGGGCCGTACCGTGAAGTACGGCCCGGTCCGGAACCCGTTATCGAACGTTATTGCGGCCTGGGTAAGACACCATACACATCAAAGAAACCTTTACAAGCATATTGCTGAATTTCTTTAATGCTGAATTTATTCAAAAGCTAGCCCACACAGAGCCCATGACTTATATCAACCTTTTAAATTACCACATTCTCTGGCCGGCAGGTTGTAACAGAGTTAACCACAACAAGGATCTAAAACTGTAGCATTTTCGGTGAAAAGATAACCGAATAGTAAACGACACATTATGACTAACACAAGAATTCCGCCGGCAGTCTGTGATCTTACGACGGTTGTATGACGTAACTGATGGAAATAGAGGCTGTACGACATCTCAAATTCTATTATTTAGACACCAAACACTTTCTTCATTTAATGTTTGACAACTTTTTTTTTTTAAACCGAATTTAACGTCATTTTTCCCCAACCGGGGGTTAGACGTGCTTGCACCAAGTACAAGTCTTTTTTTTTAACCAAGATTTTTAAGGCTGGATGCCCTTCCTAACGCCAGCGCAAACCCTAGTAGGGCTCGGGAACCCTCTAACTGAGGGGAGAAATGCAATGCCATGTTAAGTGCCTTTCCCAAGGGCACAATGTCTGGGTGCATGTCCAAACATATCTCGGCCCAACCCTGGGGATTGAACCTGGGTCTCCTTGCTTGACAGTCGGACGCTCTATCCACTACACCACACAGACGCCACTTACTTACACTAACTTAGCCGACAAAAATACAAAAAACATAGTCATACAATGTAACGAAAATGGCAAATAGTGTGCAAATAGAGCTTATTTTTATAGGAAGAAACTACTCTAGACAATTTATGATATTGATTTTTTTTTCTTAAATCTAGCTTTGCACTTTTTAAAATATTGCAAATTCTTTGATGTTCAGGTTGTACATGTAAAACTTAGTATCGATAGCGCGCAAGTAAAAATAGTCTAGACTATCCCACATGTCAACAGTGCAGAACACAGTATACATAAACTAATCAAGCGGACCAAAACTTCAATAAAATACCAAACAACAAAACGAATAATATTTCTTAGTAATCTAGGTCAGAAAGCAATTTCTACTGAAAAATGTAATTACTGATTGAACACACACAAAACGACAAAATTAATACTATACGTTAATTCCACCCAAGCTGCATATTTACATTCCACAATACAAATGACCACACCATCTCATAGCCCGCCCACCTAAGTTTTAAGTAGAAATACAACATAGAAACAAAAATGCAAATAACAGACCCCCTTTCTTATTGGCTGAGCTGCAAACTGCCCTTCTCTCATTGGTTGAACTGGTAATGGTAATTGGCAGAAAGATTGCTTTATTCTCAGGCCTGTTAGAGTCGATACACAAGCTTGAGCTGGACATCACGTCGCTATAAGTACAGGTATGGTACAATAAGCCCGTGCAAAATCTGGGGATACTAAGAAGTCTTTGTTTGTCTTTTGAGATCGAGCAATCGTTTGTAATTGTTTGATCCATTGCCTAAGAATTGGGAAACAAATTTAGCAGTAAAGAGAATTTAGTGTTGCTGTTATGGCTGTAAGCTGGGTGGTGAAGTTGTACCTAGTGTTGGCTGTACGCCTGGTAGTGCCTTGTGTAGAAGCGGGGGACTGGCAACACTGTCAGAAGGTATCAAGGGAGAGATGCAGCGTTGGTGACAGTCGAAGTGGTGGTCCAAAGTACCGCTATGATATCGGTGGGTATGGTTCCAAAGATTATGGTCCTTACAAGGGACCTTTCGACTATATCTTTTGGAGCCAAGCGTATGTGTCTTGCTACAACTGCACAGGTAACGAAAACGTGTCCGTTAGTTCTGTTCTGAATGCAACCCTGAGTCCCTTCCAACAGGACATAACAATCCTTTTGGTAGTTGATCACAACACGGGTATCATGAGTTCAGGTGATACCAGCGCTCTCTCAGATTTGCCTTGTGGTACATACTGCCGCGTATGGCTCGTAAACTGTAACATAACCACCATAGAGGCGGGGGCGTTTGCTAAGCTCTCACAGGTGCAGACCTTGGTCATCTGGCGGAGCAACCTCCAGACCCTAAAAAGCGGCACGTTTGAGGGGATGGGCGGTCTGAAGCACCTGCTGCTGTTGGGCAACAACATCACCTGTCTGGAGGTAAGATTACAACATGCACGGATCTGTGAAATACCTTTAATAATATCGAGCTTGGATTGCACTGTATGATCATGTGAAAATACCCGATTAAATTACATTGAAGGAATTATTGCTTGTATGGTTGCAAACAACCACACAAGCAACTGTTACAATCTATTTACGTTTAGTGACTTAGGTATTACGACAAGTTGCGAAAGTTAAGTTTCATACCGTGATAACACAGTACACATTCCTGGACACCTCATACCACATCTTGCCACTCACAACCCTGTCAACCAACTGAAACCCAATCATCGCTGCCCTTGCTAGGATAAGATACACCAAAACACCCCTAAACAAGCATAATAATTAATACCCACAAGATTGGCTGGCTGGCTAAGTTTAAGCACTTGTTATCAATCGTATCGGTAGCGAACAAATGGTCTAAGAACACTACGTTTTTATTACAGGCTGGTACCTTCCAAGGGTTGCCCAGACTAGGCTACCTCTATCTCGTGGAGAACCACATCCTGACGATGCCAGCCGGCGTGCTCCGTGGACTACAGTCAGAATGGCTGGACGTAAGTATGAACTCTATCTCTCACATCGCGCCTGGTGTGCTACAGGACGCCGGTCCTGTACAGCACATCTATGCCATTAAAAACAGGCTGCAGTCAGTCAGTGTCGGCATGTTTGCAGGGCTTGAACAGCTGCGACTGTTGTACCTGCAGGATAACAAAATCTCTAGCATTGCAGACGGGGCGTTTGTCTCAAACAAGCTACTGCGAACGCTAGACCTCTCTGGAAACAAGCTGACCTTTCTGTCTGGGCTGTGGTTTGTGCCTGACAAGGCTTATCCTCGTGTGAATGTGAAGGGAAATGCCATTGCTGCTGTCGTCCACGCGTCTAGATTGGCAACTTTTTTGTTGCCTAACAATCCCTTGCGCTGTACATGTGCAAACATTGGGTTGTATGAACGAATGTGGACGCTGTGGAAATCCCAATGGCATTTCCCTTTGCGTTCTATGATCTCTATACAGGCGGGGTGTCCCTCCATTTCCCTGCTAAGGACTCCTCCTGTGGCGGTTAATGCCAGTGCTCTGCCTTGCCCGGCACCATTTGTCGAAATTGTGGATGTAGAGCGAAATCAGCATCCCCAAGTATACAAGGCTTCTGGTAACGTGTACTGGGAGGACCTGCCCCACGTGTTCTGGACCTTTGCCAACGGGTCAGAATATTCAATGAACATAACACACAACACAAACACAACGGCACACGCTAGCCTGGCAATAGGAAACCTAACTGTAAGTGTGGTGACTTACATAAAGGCTGAGGGTTGGGTGAAATGTAAAGGGTCAGAAAATAAGACAGGATCCAGGAAGCATGAATCGTGTTCCAACTACATGGGGAAGTCTACATTCACCTTTTGGCTGACGACTGCTGAAAACGTGACCGTCACAAACTGCAGTTGTACCGTTGTCTCAGAAATTGGCTCCTACACTGTTAACTTCGATATGAGCTTACAGACTACATCACTGACACAACCCACAATCCACACACAACCAGCAACACACACAGAGCCAACATCCCACATACAACAGACAACATACTTACAACCAACAGCGCAAACACAACCGTTATCCACATCCAAGTCTCTATGGATGATTGTGTTGTCATCTCTATTCACAATATTGATGGTGCTCACAAGGATAGCGTGGAGGTATTCCACAGAGGGTCACCGGGTAGCCAGGCAAAATGTTCAGGAAAACCATTCAGTAGAGGGAGCGCCGGGGCCCAGAGAAGGCGTGGCACGCTTGCCTTCTGTATCAAGCGTGATCGTCCCTTATGCTGTAGCATACGGTGATACAATCGCAAACGCCGGCACCTCAGATGACCAGATAACCCCGTATGCTATAACGTACGATGTCGAAGATGACGACATCACACCGTATGCCGAGGGTCACCTTCGCGATCACGACAGTCTGTGCGAGTCAGACGATTCTGACTCTTCAGAAATTGTTCCTTACGGGGTGAGCAAGATATGTGACAAGTATGTCAGTGGCGACGGTAAGGAAACTCAAGAAAACACATCTGTCACTTACAGAAACGACAACTTGTCGTCGAGTGAGGGCCCTGTTTCCAAAATGTATGGCAAAGATGAACCTAAAGAAACCATTCTGAATGATTCGGTCAAAGTTATCATTCATCAGCCAAACCCTTCCCCTCTGCCAGCCTCTGACCATAGTGAAGCGGCCTGCTCAACGGCCTCTCCGCTACCAGAAGCCGTCGCGATTAATAACCAGGCGACCCCAAATGATCATGATACTGAAACAAATGATGTCTCCGTTGAGGATGATGCAAAAAGCGAGCAGGTCATTTCTGTTGCCACCGTTAGTAAAGATGATTAAGAGGAGACCGATTTGAAACACACTACCTCTTTGGCTGAATAATCGCTTTTCTATGTTTGGTACCGTCATCTTATCTTACGTTCGCCATGTGTGTATGTCAAGCAAAGACTAGCTGTGATTATGAAATTTAGTGGCAGTTGTTGCTTCCAAGGAAATATCATAGCAGTAGAGTGCACATGTTTATAGATGTTTGACGTTGTGAGGTATCCTAGAAGACTACCAGTGTATCCATGTACACCACTTAGTCTAACTACTAGTACTAGTAATATTCATGATACCAACCCCTTATAGGTTGCGAACATTATGTCATGTATTGCACATTGCACAAGATTTCATATTACTCATAAAATGGGGCTTTTCTTTATTCCTAAAATTAGAAAAAAAACATGTTTCTGCACTTGAGATTTTTTAAGATTACTATAAATTATAAACTTAAGGAGGGAATTATAAACTTAAGGAGAGAAACTACCACCAGTCCGTGCCTTTATGGACGATGTCACAAGTATACTCCGAACTGCTCCGTGTACGACTCGGCTGCTCCAGAGACTTGAGGAGCTAACTGAGTGGGCTGGTATGAAGTTTAAGCCGTCGAAGTCCAGAAGTTTGTCACTAAGGAAGGGGAAGATCTCCAGTAGAACCTTCTCAGTGAATGGTCAAACCATTCCAACTCTACAAGAAGAACCGGTGAAGAGTCTGGGGCGTCTCTACACAAGTAGTTTGAAAGACACCACAAGGGGACCTGAAATTATCCGTCAAGCTACAAGTGGTCTTAAATGCATTGATGAATGTGATCTTCCTGGAAGACTCAAAGTGTGGTGCGCACAGTTTGTGCTGTTTCCAAGACTAAAATGGCCCCTTAAGATGTACAACATATCCATGTCAACTGTGGATCAGATCGACAGGAAAGCCAATTCCTACTTTCGGCGGTGGTTAGGTGTACCAAGATGTCTGTCAACAGTGGCATTGTTTGGCGACAACATGTTAAGCCTTCCGCTTTCATCTATTGCAGAGG